TGAAAAATGTACGCCAGTGCCTCTTTCCCTGCCTCTGCTCCTCCCAAATCCCTCTTCACAAACACTCCACAAACTGGACCAGCGGACCAGTCTGAGCTGGTACCACAGCAGGGCTGAGCTGGTAGCACAGCAGGGCAGTATCTCCAGCACAGCACTGGGGGCTGGACAGTCAGCACGGCTGCAATCAGCCTCTCCAACCCGCAGCCAGTTATTGCTGGCAAAAAAGGTGGCTCATCTAGGGTGCCAGTAGGTACCAGATGTGACGAATGGCCATGGCTGCATGCCTGGAAAAGCACTCCCAGGCAAAGCACTTCCAGCTTTGCTTTGGTCTGCAGCAACATCCTCTGGCCAGCGAAGGAACTGGGAGCAGGCTGTGGATGGGAAGTGGGCAGGGATGCAAGCAGTTCCCACGCGATTCTCCTCTGCTGCCTACTGAAACACCAGCTCCCAGCTATTCTGTACATGCCCTGGGCTTACTTTTTAGATCACAAATAGTTTCCAGGGCAAAAACAACCCATGCTCTGCCAAGTGAAGGGGAGAAGTTGTGGAAAATAGTTAGTCAGCAGTTTTCCAAGTCCAGGTGCATCACAGCTGTGCTGGGAGGGTGATGCTGGCTGAGGGGGCAGCACAGCTTGCTTCTTCTGGACTCCAGAGAAGTTTCAAGTGCTTTGAACAAGACAAGAAATATAATTGGAGAGAGAGGGAGACCTTTAATTCAGCAACCACTGGATCTACAGCTGGACATTAACTGCAGAATCTGAAATAATCTGACTTTGGGAAATTCAAGGAGTCCCAGATATTCAGCTGGAGATGACATTTTCTGAAGGCCCCATGCTCCCTATGAAAGTGTAACACAAGGTTTAGATTCGAGGTCATTTCTGCCTATTAAGACAACCAGGAAGAAAATGTTGAAATAAACGGCTAACAACTTGGAATTGAATCAGATTTCTGTTTGAGGGAAGTACATTTTAACAGGAGTAGAAAAATAAACCTAAGTTCCTGTAAGAAACAATTGGGCCATGGCATTTCATGTCCCTTCAGGACCCTTTTGTGTTTGCAGCTGGGGCTGACCAGCCACGAGGTGACGCTGTGCCACATCGGTCTGCAGAAAAAACATCTGGCTGAAAAAATCAGGCAAAGCTTTGAACACTCGGGTGTTTTAAAATTATATGATAGTCCCTCTAGAAGTTGGTGAACACACCCTCTACCTGTGTTACTCCTGTGATGCAGTTGGGCTGATTTGCTTGATGGAATCACATCCCATCTCTAGTCAGGAGGAGCAATGGTACCATGGAAAAAGCTGTTAAAACCAAAACCCTAGCATGTCTGTATAATTCCTCCATTTCAGGAAACCAATGGGGAAATGCCTGAGGCCACGGCCTCTGCCCTGGCTTCCACCAAGAGCTGCTCTGTGCTGCACCAGCACCTGCAAAACCTCAACTACATTTCTCAGTCTTGAGCAAAGAAAAAGGAAAAGCACATACAACCATCTGGAATTGACAGCAAAGCTGAAAACAGATGTTTGATGCTGACAAGAGGTGTTGGGGTCTGCTCTGAGGCATGTGCAGGTTTCCCATCGGGATTTGGTTCCCAGCCTGCTGCTGTGATATGCTTTCACCCTTCTTGCTCCCAAGCAACATCTGAATATAACAGAAGTGGCTCAAGCCTTTAAAGGCAGCTGCATGCCTCTCCACCAGCCTTTGTCCCCTGGCCTGGCTGCCCATCAGTGCTGCCAGCCTGCTGCTGGATGGTAAACTCTGCCAGGGCTCAGCTGTAAAACACAACATTGATGCACATTATGCCCAGGAGAAACCCAGCCATGACAGCAGAACGAGGAGTCCTGCTTGCAGTTCTGTTCTCTTCTGACTGGTGTCAAAGGTCTCTTCTATTCCCAGTGGCCAGAATCTGCTCCTCCAGGGGCTATTTCTCATCAGACTTTCTTACTGAGATACCTCCTTGTTGCCTTTCCTGTTCCTGCCTCACCTTCCCCCATTAGCTCTGCTGAAGTAACTCATCCTTTCTTCTCTGAGATTTCTTTGCTTATCCTCCAATTTGGACAACTGAATAGGGCAAAGCAAGCAAGTTCCTACTGCAAGACAGAAACTACAAATGACTTGAGGAGCTGGAAAGACTGAGAGAAATTGCCCTCAAAATTACTAGCAATGCAATGAAGCTGATACCCCTTTCCAGAAACCTCTTCCCCATCCTCCTGGGAAGGGTGGGACTGCCATTCACACAACAACCTAAAAGAACTAAATTGCACCCAGTAAACAACCAAAACCTGATGCTGCAAACAGTTTCCTCCCTCCTTTTCACAGGCAAGTGACTTTTTAGGCCCCAAGGAGTCAGAAGAGTAAACCCATGACTGCTGTCTCTGCCATCTCAGGTTCAGGAAAGTAAAGCACTACCAAGAAAAGCTTCAAGTTTGCTCTGAAACCACCTGAGACTTCACTTGTATGTCTTTTGTATCTTTGCAAAATACAGGTAGTTCTTTGCTGTCTTTGGGTGCAACCAGAGCTGTGAACTGCCTCCCCAAAAAGAGGCAGCATCAACAGCTGGATGAGGAGACACACAAGATGCTCAGCATCACTGCTGCCTCACTGGTGGCACTGCTGTGTGCTGCACACACTTGGCCTCACTGGATGACCAAGGCCCCACATGCCTGCTCCTCAACCAGGCTGAGTTGTGACGACCCTCATGGACATCTCTGTGCTGCAAAGCTTGACAGCATTCCCACCCTGGGTCTGCACCACAACCTGGGGTGGCCAAGGTGATGCAACAGGTTCCTCACCATCGTTTCTGCCCGAGAGGGAAGTCTGAAGCAGGGAGTGAGGCATAGTGACTCCCACACTACCCCAAGGGTACCCACATCTTAAATTCCTCAGCCTCTAGTTTGCTCCTTGTCATTAGTTCCCTGGTATCTACTGTCGTATGGACTGTCTCTACAGGCATTAGAAAAGAAAGATGAGGGCAGGTCCATTGCCTTTCTGATATGTTATTACCCAGAATATACCTCTCTTCAGGACAGGGTTAAGATACTGGTTTATGCATAGGAAAAGTCACAGCTTATAGAATTATTAAAGATCCAGCCATGATATTCACTTGTGGAAAAAGAGGGAAAAAGAATACCAGCAGCCTCTATTCCTGTAAGTAAAGATAAATGGGGGAAGTCAGGAGGATTGCTCATAAATGAGAGTCCCATTGAGGAGAAAGTAGTGCTGGAGTGAGCTGCATTCATTCTGCAGGAGGATTTGGAGTCTAAAGAGCAAGGAAAAAATATGTCAGTACAAGATCTGTATTTTTTTTTCCTTCAATTTCCAAACCTTACTTTGAGGTTTTTCTTTAAAAGCTGTCTAAATAAAGGGTTCTCATACAGAACCCTGCCAAGTTTCCTAATGGAAAATTTAGTCTGTGTTAAAGTAATCCTTAACTCACAGAAGTGCAGTTCAGTGATGGAAATGATACCCTTCTACAGAGCAAAACTGAGGCAAGGCAGAATGTTCCTGGGTCCTAAATATTTCTTTCAATCTTTGAATTTATTACTTTATACTGACAACTTTTGTGTATCTATGGAGAGCAGTGTTTATCTAACAAAAAGCACACAGCTTCCAAAGCCAAGCTAAGATGAAAGATGTCGGTGATTTTTGGCCTCATCACCAGCTGATATATATGCTGCTGTTATTCTTGGATTGGAAAAAAAGGCCCAAAAGATAAATCTCAACTCCCTCAGAAGCAAATCCATTATTTGGTAAAGAGACTGAAACATGCCTTTAGGAAGAGCCAGACTGCAGTTGCACTGGATTGGCAAACATTAAAGGACAGCTTTATGTTCACATTTTAAAACTTCTGTTTTTCTGTTGCCTGACCCAGGAAAAAGCAGGAGCCGAACTTTATAAAGTCGAGCTATTTCCACAAGTCAGGAAAAGAAACCTCCAGTAGCACCGGGAGACCGAAGAACGTGATGGCCCCTCTCGGGACCGTGTTTCCCTTGCACCGGAGTCTGAAAGCGCAAAGACAACAGCAGAGAGAAAACGCAAAGCGAGCACCGAGCCTGGCTCGCAGCGAAGATCAGAACTGAGCGCCGTGGATGTTGGGGGAAGCCACGGCCGGGGCGGGCGGCGCCGGCTCCGGCAGGGCTGTCCGAGCGGCGGGGACACCCGGGCTGGGCTGGGCTCGGGGCTCGGGGCTCGGGGCTCGGGGCTCGGGGTCCCGTTCGGGCACTTACCGCCTGCTGGAGCGGGGCCGCGCCGCCTCCCGCCGCCTCCGCGCTGCTGCCGCCGGCGGCCGGGGCTCTGCGCCCGGGGCCGGGCGGTGCCGCCGCTCCCTGCCCGTCGGCCGGCGGCTCCCGGTTCTGCCCCGCTCTGCCCTCGGGCCCCGGCGGCTCCCGGCTCTGCCCCGCTCTGCCCTCGGGCCCCGGCGGCTCCCGGCTCTGCCCCGCTCTGCCCTCGGGCCCTCGCCGCCGGCTGCTGCCGCTGCCCATGGCTGCGGGCCGCCGCCTCTCCCGGCCGGGCCGCAGCGGCGCTCGGCGGTCCCGGAGCCTGTCGCGGGGACAGTCCCAGCCCGCAGCGCCCCGGGGCCGGGGGAGGGAGCCGGCGTGCAGGGGAGGGGTGCGCGGCCGGCTCTGATCGCGGTTTTGGGCAGGCTGCCGCGCTCCCCTGTCCCTTCCAAAACTTCCCAGCCCAGCCCAGCCCAGCCCGTTAGCTCGGGCCTCCCAAGCACCAGAGTCTTACATACATCTCCCGGAGCTGGGGTGGGGGGACGCTGCCATCTGCGGGGACCATGCAGCGGGATCAGCTGTCGCAGACCTCTGGAGAGCAGCCCGGACCGGGGGATGCCTGTGGGGCAGGTTTGCGGCACGGAGTGCGGTTCCGGCCACGTTCCTGGAGTTACAGGGAAGCCCCCGGGCAAAGGATGGGTCAGCTGGACACCCTCTTGGCCGATGCCCACAGACGGAGTCGCTCTGCTTCCCGACAGCCTGACGAGCGTGTGGAGCTGATCCCCCAACCATCCTCAGCTGCTCTTCGCTTCCAGCAGCAATATTTGCACATTGTTCGATAGTGGAAGATTGTAGATACTAAAGGCAAGGCTGTCATTCCCTCCAGGGATGGAGGGCAGGGGAGTACAGTGGCTGCTTGGTCTTCAGCCTGTTCTGCCTCCCTTCCTTCCAAACCAGCCGCTGATAAAGGCAGGAGGCACAGGGCTGTAATTTTTCTTGCTGCTACTCAGCACTGACTGCAATGGTTGCATATACCAGTTGTTCATTCTGCTGGTTCTTCCTAAACCACTGAGCTAAAGGCCAAGGGTTTGTAATGGAGGGGCTGGAGGAAAGAATGGTCAGATCATTGCCAGAAAGATGAGCTCATAGCAGTGGGGGCTTATAAGAAAGATGGGGACAAACTTTTTACCAGAGCGTGTATTGACAGGACAAGGAGTAAGGTTTTAAACTAAAATAGGGCAGATTCAGACTAAATGTAAGGAAGAGATTTTTTTATAATGACGGTGGTGAAACACTGGCACAGGCTGCCCAGAGAGGTGGTAGATGCCTCATCCCTGGAAACATTCAAGGTCAGATGGATGGGACTCTGAGAGTCTGGGTGAAGTGGAATGGCAGGGGGTTGAACTAGATGACCTCTATAGGTCTCTTCCCACACAAACTGTGACTGAGAAGGATGTTCTGTTGGAAGAGTAGATCATCTGGGAGTGTGGGGGTGTAGTGTCACATGCAGAGCCCTGGAGCCGGAGCCAGGCCAGTCACAAAGCTGTTTTGCATCTGAGTAAGGTCTTGGAGAAAGGAGAAATTATGAGGCCTGGTTTCTGAGGAGGAGATGGTGGAGCTGAATATGGGATTAATTAAATAGCCCCAAACAAAATGTCCCAAGGGAACAGGCTCTGCAAGCATCAGAGACAGAAATTCTCCACAACAAGAAGTGAGCAAATTCCTCCTCCTTCTCCATCCCTGCAGGCTGTCTCTGAGGGAGTGGAGCCTCCTGGAAAGCTTCCTGGCTTCCCCCATGGAAACAGTTCATTCCAGGACAGTTCCCCAGATTCACTTGGAAGCAATGCTGGCTCCATAAACCAGCTGTCAAAATGAGCCAAACGCCTTGTGTTTTGAAGTAGATCGCTGCTGGAGCCAGGAAAGTGTTTGAGCAGCAGTGATCTCAAATGCTGCTGTGGTTTAGCAGTGACACTGAAGGACTCTGAGGTCATTAAATGATATTTCCCTGCCCCTAAAGGACTGCTGAGAATTAAAGAGAAAACTTCCCAAAAGCTAAAGGCCTGATAAGCACATGACTCCTCAGAAAAATCAGTAAATTGGAAAATTCCTTTTTATGATGGCCTGGTGCCTTTTAAGACTGTTTCCCAGCAGGGCCAGTGGATAGTATCTTGGATGGTCTTCAAGAGCAAGGGTGGAAGTGTGTAGTACAAGTGCCAAATATGGCATGTGGATCAATTTTACATGGTACCTAGCCAGACCAGCAAGGAGCCAGAATCCTGCACATCAAAAGCACGGTGTTATGGAGCCAGCAGTGTTGGCTCCTGGCTTCTCCCAAGCCATGTGGGAGCCCAGGAGCTCTTCTGGACAATGATGCTGGAGTTCCATGGTAGATGGTCTCTTCTGGCTCCTGCTGTGCTGGCACTCTCAGCCTCTGCTTTGGGAAAGAAAAGGGTCCCTGTTGTTAGCACTCTTCAATCATGCCTTTTATTAAAATATTTAATTATAGAGAGATAAATGCATACACACACACATTTATACTTGTACATATTAACATCCAAGTCTTTCTAAACGATCATATTTATTTGAGAAATGTGGGATTATTTTAAGGTTACCATTATCTATTGGAGCCACTAGCACTTATTTACCCTGCTATAGAATTTGACTGGACTTTTATGAGCAAAGCCCAAAGTGGAGTTGAGGAATGCAATTGCCTGGACAAAATGGGACTTATTTTCAGATTGCTCAGTCCCCAAGTATGAGACTAAACCGTACTTAATTTATACCTCTACCTCATGCCGTGTCTCATGCTATCACCAGACTACAAGCAGGACTGTCACTCCTCTCTCCTGACAGACTTTCTTCTGTGAAGAGAAAAGACATGTGAAAAATTGCAGCCAGCTCCAGCGATATTTTTTGTTCCCTGCCTTCTCCCCAGCCCATGGTTGCTGTGGGATGATCTCACAGACCCTATCCTACACCCCAGTTGAACCTGAAAGGGAGACCCCGTAGTTCAGACTTGTTCTTTGTTAAAGCCAAGGAATTGTTGTTCTTTTGTGATGCAGAGCCTGAGCTTTTTGCTTCCTCAGGTCTTTGCTCTCTTGTCTCAAACTCCCGGAGCAACCAGCCCTCTGGCCCCAGGACAGATCTCCATGGCTGTAGGCAGTGCAAGGAGCAGCCCAGCCCACCCTGGCCCTTCCACTCAGCAGCACTGGTGCAAGTTGGGGATGGGGAAGATGGAAGAGCATACCCTGGGCCCCACAGACATGTTCCCCTGGCAGGGAAAGCATCCTGAGAAGGTCTCAGCACCAGCATTTGGAGGGGTGTTGTGCTGGGCTGTGTGTCTGCTCACCCTGGTGAGGTGTGATGGGCAGCTGCAGCACTACCAGCAGTTATGATGGGAGCACCAGAGAGCCAACACGAGGAGTCTCCTTGCTGGGTAAAATAACAGGCTCCCTCCAACACAATAATCAAAGCAAAACCTTGGGAGCTGGGTTTTTCCAGCTTTTTGTTCCCACCAGAAATTTTATAAGCTATTTGCTATTAGTTCACTGAAGGAGCTGATCTTGTAGCAATAAATGTCACAGCACGTGTGTTTAGATTTAGTTTTCTTTCCTAATACTTGCTATGTTTTCAAAAAGTCTTCAGCAGAGATAGATGCAGTCCCTTGTCATAACAGTTCTGGAAAATGGTGAGGTTTTTTTTGTGGTCACCTGTATTGACCACAGAAAGGATTAAAATTCAAAGTTAAAATATATAATGCCAGATTGGATCTCTCCCTCTTGCTTGCTGACTGAAAGGGTGATTTCTCCCATGCTTCCTAGGTATCCTTCACAGGGTATCCACTGCCCTGGAATGTAGCATGGGGAGATTCTGCCTCTTCCTGGCTGTCCTCCACTACAACACGGATGCTTGCTGACCACTGCCCAGACCTGGACACTCCTGCCTTGCACCATGAGGACACCATGGCACGTTTGGAGAGAGCCTGGAGGTCTTGGTACAGATTTTCACTGTGGATTTGTTAGAAGAAGCCCAGTAAATGTCTGTCAAAAAGTTGTTTAGATTTCAAACTAGCTTAGACAGCTTTTGCCCATGCTCTGAGAAGAAAACAGAAATATTTAGTCTGTATGGAATAAGCAGGAAAATCTTCATTTCCCCACTGCAAATGGCTGGATTGGTGTTACCCTTCAGTGAACAAGTTTACATATTAATCTGCCTTTCTGACATTAACTTGTATGTGTAGCAAAGGCAATGTGTACCTTGCTCAAAGCAAGAGCCAGTGTCTATCACTTGGCTTTCCAAATGTTTACCCAGATAACATCTTCATTTGGGTTTTTCTATAGTTCTGACCCAAAACCTTCTGAAAAATTTATTTCTAATGTTGACAGTTCTTCAGGTATTTGCTTTGATGCAGAGACCTTATATCTGGTGGGTCTGTGCCATATCCTGAGCTGATGTGCTGTGAAATTCAGTGGGTGGAAAAAGCTGGACTTGGGAAAGAGCACAGTGCCAGTGTTGTCTACCTGGGGACCCAAATGGGGAGTGGGAACAGGAAATTTGCTTTGCCCCCTCAAGTCCCCCAGAGAAAAATAACTGCAAGGGAGAGGCTGTTGAGATGCAGATAAGAAAGGTCCAAGAGGCTGAGTTGGAAGGTGAGGGTTAGGAGTTAATGTTCCTAAAGCTGTTTCATCTCTGCTGCTCCTCAAGGTGCTGCCTCATGCTGAACATACCTTTCCCAGCTGACAAGAGCTGGAAAGGTGGGTGCTTTGCAGCAGGGGAGACCAGTTCTCTAACTCAAGAACCATCCTTCAGCAGCTTCAGGCCAGGATGCAGTGGGGAAACCACAGCTGGAGGAGGGAGAGAGGTTGCCCCTGTATAATTAATGGAGCTGGGCTTTGGCCCAGGGCTGGAGTTTGACTCATCTAATTCACTAAAAAACTGCTGAGAACAGATGTTTAAATACAAAAGCATGTTTTTTAGGAGTGTCCTTTCAACACATCTTGGATTTTACTGCAACCTAAGCATTGCCAGTAAATATT